TCCAGTGGTACTGGTGGATATCGAGGGAAATTCGAGCATGTCTTTGCGTCATTACGTCACATCTGTACACACACATCAGTACACACACATCTGTACACATAAAGAAGAGTAAAGAGTAAAGTTGTTAATTCCATGAATAACTGCAATTGCAGATTTCACCAGAGATGGCGACAAATAGGAAAAACTACGGACTGCAGCTTTAACAATATATTAGTTAAAATTATTTATTTGCATTTTTATAATATTTCACAGTATTACTGTTTTTACTGTATTTTTGATCAAAAACAAATGCAGCCTTGGTGAGCAGAAGATACTTCTTTCAAAAACATTTAAACTATTAAACTATTTAAAAATCATACAGACCCCAAACCTTTGAAGTTTTATTATTTCGTATATATATATAAATTAAAGCACAAAAAACTAAAATCAGTTATTTCTAATGCTACATTATAATGAACATTGAAAATTACATTTAAAAAAAAGAAATAGAATATTAAAAAAGAAAAAGAAATTAAAGATACACTGTAACTTTTGGCCCTCTAGCAGTTAAAAAACAAAACTGCATGCATTTTGTGAAAGATGTCAACCTTTCTCTCTCGAAGTGACAACTAACTTCTGACCTCCCACACCACACACACACACACACACACACACACACAGACACACACACTCTCAACCTCTGACCTACCACACCACACACACACACACACACACACACACACACACACACACACACACACACACACACACACACACACACACACACACACACACACACACACACACACACACACACACACACACACACACACACACACACACACACACACACACACACTCAACCTCTGACCTACCACACCACACCAGACACACACACACACACACACACACACACACACACACACACACACACACACACACACACACACACACACACACACACACACACACAACCTCTGACCTCCCACACCAGACACACGTCAAAGCAGCCGGAGCAACTTTTCTCTATTTACTGATATGACAAGATGCGCTAGCGATTGACATATGTACAGAATTTCCAGTTAGTTCTAGGGGGTATTATATTATATTATATTATATTATATTATATTATATTATATTATATTATATTATATTATATTATATTATATTATGTGGGTTTACATGTACATATGCAGCAAATGTTTAGATGTTGCATGACACAATTGCTTGACTAGCATGCAGAATTTGAGAACGTCATGGTGAATTAATGAGTCAAAGCAATGACAGAGTGATAGACACACATGTAAACACTGTCTGGCACGCATTAAACGAAAGCACGCTCATGCACACACAGGCATATAATAGCCCCCTGCTAGCATATTAAGTCTGGCTTAGCCAGACTTTGGACCACTTTGCAGATTATTGTGGCATGACATAAAGATGTGTTTCGTTATGGGTAAATCTGAATAATAAGGATTCATGTATTAACATTAATTAGTTTCAACATTTACTTTTTATGTTTACATTTGTTAGTGCACTTTGACCTAACATGATAAACAATGAACAATTGCATTTTATTATCTAGCACTGACAAAGATTAATAAATGCTGTAAGAAATATATTGCTCATTATTAGTTTGTTAGCTAATCCGATTAAAGGGATATTTCACCTCTGGAATGTGTATTTAAAATGGGTCATTTATGTAGAAGAAATGTGAAATTATGACAATATTGGTTGATTTTTGACGATTTTTGCGGCATCGGAGGATTTTTTCCAGACAAAAAATACATAAATCTCTCGTCTCAGGGGGATATGAGGGTGGAAAGCATGGTAATTCGAAAATACTACATGTTTTCTACTAATACAAAGCTTAATGCTTAATCCTGAAGTATCCCTTTAATGTTAAAGGGGTCATGACATGGATTTTTAAAAAAAGATTCTAATAGGTTCCTTGAGGTTCACTTATAATGTTAATAACATTTTCTGCACAAAAACTATTATTCTGACCCTCAGTCTGAAATTATCTGTTTGAAGGTGCTGCTTCTTTAAGGCTTGTCAGTAAACGGCCACTGTTCTGATTGGCTACCCAGACAGCAACATATGCCTCGTTTCCACTGAGTGGTACGGTACGGTTCAGTACGGTGCGGTTCGGGTCGGGTCGCTAAACCATGATCGGGGCTCGCGTTTCCACTGCCAACAGTACCCTACTTGATAGGCGTGGTGTATGCCGGAAAGTAGTGATAACGTCACTTGATAGGCGTGGTGTTTGCCGGAGAGAAGCGATCGACGTCATTTTCGCGCGAACAAAAACGACATAGTAAACAACAATGGATGACAGACAGCAGATCTTGTTCTTGCTTCTCGGGATGTTTGTCACAAGAAACAAGCGCTGGCATTAGGCGTTTCTCAATACCAAGTAGCCACGCAAAGTCCGACTCAGGAGAATGATCCCGAGGACGCGAGTCCAGTAATTCTGCTGATGGAACAGCGCGTTCTTGAAAGCACCACTCAGCTCGCTCTGCTACTCCGGTTATGTACATTTTAGGCAACAATAAAACGAAATATGTTATAAAACACCACTCTGCTTCTTTTCGATTTAATTTAAATACATTTTAAACATTATAAGTACATTACAAATGTGGTTCAGGCAACGCATAGCCTATATTGATTATATTCACTGCATGTAACGTTATATTTATAACAAAACTAAATATAAAACACAATCCTGCCTCTTTTCGTTTCAATTTAAAAATATTAAACATATTCCAGGCAATGTATTGCGTATTGCATTGGTACAAATGTTGCAATAAACAACATTACAGATGATCTTGAAATAAAATAAAATAAATGACAAAACTATCTATTTTTGTTGAATTTCAGTTTTATCAATAATAGCCATTATAAAAGTATAAGTAAAAGGTACAAAAATATATACAGTAAAGCTTTAATAACAAAGCAAACAATTCAGTCAAATATAAAAATTCAGCGCTCAAATATATGAAACTTCACTTAGCCTTCTGCCAAAACTATTGGCCAGGGAACGAATTATAAATTCACGAGACCAAAGATCGCCTGTTAGGTCTGTACAAGGCGAATTATATCTCATGTTTAACCACTACAGAGACGTCAGAGTCAGCGGCAAACATCAGAGCGGCTAGCCGGGGAAAGGCTGCTCCAGGCGGGGTGCACGAGCGCCGAGCGCCCGGTGATTGCTTGGAATGGATCTTCAAATTATCATAAATCTATAAATAAACCACAGATTTGAGCTTTAAAAAACTACTTTCTCGCCTGAAAAACTCTTAAAACTACATTTCGTGACACAATAACAGTAGTATTATATTTTAACTGTATGCTTCTAATGCCCTTGTAGCACGCGCAAGTGACGATACTCTGTCAACCAATCACCGTTCTGCAGTGAGTCTAGCTCCACCTTTTAGTACCGTACCACTGTGCTAGGTACCCCAACGGAAGGGTACCCAAAAAGTGGTACGGTACGGTTCGGCTTTTTGGTACCATTCACAACTTTTGACAGTGGAAATGCAAATAATTGCGTACCGAACCGAACTGTACCGTTCCGTGCCGCTCAGTGGAAACGAGGCATTAGTGTTGGCCCAGATCCGGCCCATATCTGGTACCTGTTGAATCTACATGTACCAGACGTGGCCCGGATCTGGGCCGGAACTATGTTGCTGTCTGGGTAACGTCAATGCATAGGAAACCGTATCAACGCCCACTCACTATTGCACATAAGCAAGTGTTTTGAGAAGATTATCCATATAAAATGGCCTATCTTTTTTCTTTGGCTTTTAATTGGTCTGTTCTGTGTTGTACATGGTGTTAAAGGATGATGGTATTTTCTATAATGTACAGCACCTTGGTCAACAATTGTTGTTTCTAATGGTGCTATATAAAATAAAGTTGAGTTTAGTTACAGACAAAGCAAAACAAACGTTCATTCACTCTTCCATTTGTCCTGTTATCGATGTCAGAACTGTCAGAAACTGAACTCGTATCTGTATACTGAATCGGTGTAGACAGCATCAGTGATTATAATGGGTTCTTTTAGCTTTTGACGTGACGCTCACATCCAGTGTAGGCAAATGACACCCGTTAAACGACTGAACGCCAGTGGGCGGGGCCTGTGGTGTGATGTATAACTATTAATTGAGAAGGAAGTCATGCAAATGTATTTGCCGTCACAGATCCGGCAATATCTAAACGAGGCGTTTTTGGAACTTGACTAAACAAATGCCTTGGACATTTTAAGCTATAAAACTGGCAAGATGTTTTAATGGTACAAAGATCTCTTGTCAAAAGATCAAGGCAAATTTGATTTCTCATGTCAAAGACCTTATTATAAAGTGTTAATATGATAAGTAAGTGAATCTGAAGAATAATGGTAGTGCATAAAATACCCGAGAAATGAGCAGGAATGTGTAACTTTCAAATATTTGAATATCTTTCAAATAATTGAATCCACAAACTTTGCCAAATCCATTAATTATTTTTTCCCTCAGCAGAACTCATCATACTGTAACATAATTTCACTTGGCGCCACTATTGCTTTCATTCTGTGTTTGATTAGACTCCCACATCCACACTTGTCACTTCTGTGCTCGCTAACCGAGTTTCATGTTATTATTCAAACTACAGAGCGATGTTTAAAAAAAAACGTAACGCTGTATGTCAGATTGTGTTTCCATCTCTTTTCCACCTGCTTTCTTTTTTTCACCTTCTCCGTCTCTCTCAGTGAGATTTCAACACCCATTATACCCTGGATGGTACCTGCTAACATCACACGTGGACGTGCCCTGGGCTAACCTCGTTTACACGCCATTGTTTAGCGGCTCACGCTGAGATGCTGGTGTTAGAAGCGCATGCCAGAGGGACATGCTTGGGTGACTTTTTTGGGGAAGGGGGATTTTTTCAGTATCTTTTGCGCTCACAGGCAATAGAGGAAAGAGAGAACAGATGTTAGCGGCCGCTGCTTTAAATGAAAACACATCTCTGTTGTCTTTCAGGATAAAGTCCGTGGAGAAGGAGGATCTACAAGCGTTGTGGAGGGAACAGACCGCCACCATAGAGAGGTACAACCGTAAGAATGAAAAATCACACAGTTTTGCTTCGATTTGCGAAGACATCAAAGTCTGAAACCAAAAGCAGAGATTTCAATATGAACTAAATGTATGTTATATATAGCATATATACTACTCCACCAAGACCAAATACATTAACATTGTCAAATCCATTACCATCCTAAACTCAGAGAGTTATCATGATAGAAATAACTTTTTAGAAATGAATTGTAACTTTAAAATAACGGGTAACTATAAATTACCCGTAACAGATCTATACAGGTGGAGCTGGGGAAGGTGGAGGGTTTCAGAGAAAACTGCTACAGCAAACACTGACCAGCTATTCAAATGTTGAGCAGCAAGCTCATTGGCTCAGATGCAAAAGGAACCAATCAGCGTGTAGTTAACGATGTAATTGTCAGCTGGTTGCGTTAAAGGGTTAGTTCACCCAAAAATGAAAATTGTCATTAATGACTCTCCCTCGTGTCGTCCCAAGCCCGTAAGACCTCCGTTCATCTTCAGAACACAGTTTAAGATATTTTAGATTTAGTCCGAGAGCTTTCTGTCCCTCCATTGTAAATGTATGTACGGTATACTGTCCTTGTCCAGAAAGGAAATAAAGACATCATCAAAGTAGTCCATGTGACATCAGTGGGTTAGTTAGAATGTTTTGAAGCATCGAAAATACATTTTGGTCCAAAAATAACAAAAACTACGACTTTATTCAGCATTGTATTGTCTTCCGGTTCTGTTGTGGATCGCTTCGTTTACAGTCTGAGGGAGACGCACGCTGGAAACAAAACAATCTTCACAAACATGTCTAAGGATTTCCACACAGAGGAAGACTTGCATTTTTTTGCCCAGCCATATTTATTTGAACCCGAATACACACACACACCAGACACACGTCAGCAGCGTCTTACATCAGCAGCGGCACTGAACGCGGATCTACAACAGAACCGGAATACATACACACACACACCAGACACACGTCAGCAGCATCTTACGTCAGCGGCGGCACTGAACGCGGATCCACAACAGAACCGGAATACACACACACACACACCAGACACACGTCAGCAGCATCTTACGTCAGCAGCGGCACTGAACGCGGATCCACAACAGAACCAGAACACACACACACACACACACACACCAGACACACGTCAGCAGCGTCTTACGTCAGCGGCGGCACTGAACGCGGATCCACAACAGAACCAGAATACACACACACACACACACACACACCAGACACACGTCAGCAGCGGCACTGAACGCGGATCCACAACAGAACCAAAATACACACACACACACACACACCAGAGACACGTCAGCAGCGTCTTACGTCAGCAGCGGCACTGAACGCGGATCCACAACAGAACCAGAAGACAATACAATGCTGAATAAAGTTGTAGTTTTTGTTATTTTTGGACCAAAATGTATTTTCGATGCTTCAACACACTCTAACTAACCCACTGATGTCACATGGACTACTTTGATGATGTCTTTATTTCCTTTCTGGACAAGGACAGTATACCGTACATACATTTACAATGGAGGGACAGAAAGCTCTCGGACTAAATCTAAAATATCTTAAACTGTGTTCCGGAGATGAACGGAGGTCTTACGGGCTTGGGACGACACAGGGGTGAGTCATTTTTGTGAAAATTTTCATTTTTGGGTGAACTTCCCCTTTAAGGACCCATTAGCCTGCTGCATCTACAGTTTCATGACGGAACTTTGTATTTAAACTATGGTAGTTGTCATCCACATTTTATATGTTGACAACTGATTCAATTTCTATTTTTGGTAAGGATTTTTATGTCAAACATCATAGAAATTAAAATTTGTCAAAACAATGACAAAATATTTGTCAAAACCTTGACAAATAATATTTTTCTCTTAGAAGAGAAAAACAGTAGTTTCTCAGATACACACAAATACTGAACTCACTCACCAGGAAGTTAGAAATAGAAGAATGTCAGACATTTTTGGTCACATTTTGTCTATTTTGATTGATGTCATGGTCCAGTAAACTGTGCACAACCATGAACCATTGTGTATTTGTTTGACTAGGGTGTGATTATGTGTGTGTCCATGTAAAAGTGTGGTGAGTGTGTGTGTTTATGTGTGGCAGAGACAGAGTTTGTTAGTGTCTGTCAGTCATCTGCAAGCGTCTCGGTGGATTGATGCACATTCCTGCCTGTGGTTTGAAGTGCTGTGTGCTGTTTGTCACGATCGCTCACCAGTCTGTGATGGAGAGAGGACGACACGCAGATAAAGGAAAGCTGAAAAGACCTGAAAGCTTTTCACAGAGAGACCTTTGACATTAAAATACACTGGCAAATACCACAAAACCCATTACAGACATTAATCGTAATACAACACTTCATCATTTGGACTGTTTCGACAGCATGGATAGAAGACAAGTTAAATCTCATTTGATAATTTTTCTTGTGCCTAGTACTCCAAAAGGAGGATAAAGGACAGAAGATGAGAGAAAGCGAACCTGATGAAAGAGGGCCTGATGCCTTTGAGCTTAGCATGTGCGTGATGATCTGTGTTTCGAGGTCGTACACCCTCCTCCTCCTCCTCCTCTCCATGTATCACAGCTCGGTTTCAGACCGAGTGATATTATATAGATATTAAATTCTGTAATGTGTCAGCAGGCTTAAGCTGCGTGTGAAGCTCTGTGATGGAAGATAGAAGCACTTCCCACTCACAGGGCTTCGGGTTTCAAAGTTTCCCGCACCTCACACACACATACACGCATACACACTCTTCACATCTCGGTTTTCAAAGGTCCTTTAATTTTCACCATCCCAGTGGAGCCACGATATCTGCAAAGTAGACTCATATTTCACAGGCGCTAATGATTTATTCCGATGACAGATATCAGACTGGATCTATTTTAAATCCGACTTCTGTCATCTTTAACCACGGTTCTCACTCTTCTGTACTCAAAAAGTATGAAAGCTTGAGTCCGTAACGCCCACAGAGAAGCCCATGTGCTCCCCACATTGCTTTCATTTCGTATTTAGCTTTATAGTGAACATATGTTCAGCTTCAGCATTTTCTTAATTGTTTAGGCATTCCAAAGAAGCCAGTGTGTACTTTGAGAAAATGTTTAATCCACGAGATTCAGGCATACAAAAAATCCACAGATGTGAGCGTTCCTGTGGGATGGCGCTTATCTTTTAGGGACACCAGTTTAGATCTAAGGCCAAACCACTTCCCATCCCATTTTTTGGCTGCCTGGTTGGCCAGAAGAGATCAGTCTTATGGAGGAAACTGTCTGATCTTTAAGTGATTACTGTTGCTCATGGGAAGTGTGTCATTATCACACCTTTCCCCAAAGTGTCTTCCTCAATCAGCGGGAGAGGAGGCTGGAGGCCAACAGATAAGATCGGCTGTGTTTGGGAATTTCCTAGTTTTGTCCTGCAGGGAAAAGATATACAAAGAGAGATAAAGGGAGAGAAATAGAAATGCGATGGTTTCTCCAGCCAGTCCTTCCTTCCTAGGACCGCATTTCTTGGACACTAGTTGTTTAGTGACGGCGCCACCTACCAAATTGGATGTCTGAAAAAAGTGCAGCCAAAGCAGTATTTTTTTTATCAAATACTAACAACTTAAAGGGGCAGATTTGCTAAATTTACAAATTAACGTAAGAGTGCAATTCCAAAAAAGCGCAGATGGAAAGTTCTGTGAAATTAAAGAACAGAGACGCAGCCGGATCATTTCCATAATGACCAACATAATCTACCAAGAACAGCACAAATTAGCGTCTGGTTTAAGACCTGCTTTTTTGGAGCGTTAAATAATGCCACAAACACCAGTAAATTGACGAGCGCAAACCTTAGTAAATCACCTTGCGTGATTCATTTAAATACTTTCCTTCTATAAATGTTGCGCCTAAAAGGGAAACTCCTACAAATGCGTATGCAATAAGGTCAGTCGCAAAATTAACTGTCCATGCCTTTTCAGCGCTAATTTTACACGGCGTGTCTTTAGTAAATCCTGACAGTAGCTTTTTTAACGCCAAAAAAAGTGTTTGCTATGGCTCAAGCTGTTACTAAACCTGGCCCATAGTGTTGTGAACCTACAGTTTTTCTTGCAATTCAACTTGATTGCTAAGAGGTTAAAGGGTTAGTTCACCCAAAAAATGTAAACTCTGTCAGTAATTACTCTCCCTCATGTTGTTCAACCCCGTAAGACTTTCGTTCATCTTCGGAACACAAATTAAGATATTTTTGATTAAATCTGAGAGCTGGATCACTCCTCCATAGGCTTCTTAAAGGGGGGGTGAAACACTCAGTTTCAGTCAATCTCATGTTAATCTTGAGTACTTTGAGTACTATCTTGAGTTAATCTTTATGAAGACATGATTTGGTTTTACAATAAACACACAAACAGACACCTACAGTAGCCACCTAAACAAATAACATACATCGCATGCTCCATAGATACATTAACTATTCGTGATCATGTTGTTTAGCCTACTTGCTGTGCTTAAGTTACACGCCGATAGACACACAAATATTTGAAGCAGTTCTACTCACCGCCTGCGGTTCCAACGCAAGACAGTTAACCTTTAGTGTTGGGACTACTCCATCCTTGATAACTAAACGATTAGCAAATCCGGCTTCGAACTGGGCCTTGTTTATAAAAAAATCATCCTCGAAATGCATGGAACAAACAAGAACACTTGCACAACTGTGTTGATGTTCTGGAAAAACAAACTCCATCCACTGGTCCCTTAACGCTTGATTCTTTGGGAATCTGTGCAGTGTTGTCTTGCCTTGGCAACCGAAAACACACTTCTTTGGAGACATATTGAGCGCAGCCGATGCACAGCGCTTTGATGGGCATAGGTTACGGCTATCGCTCTACACGCATCACACACATGACCAGCGTCGGCCAATAGTGAGCCTGCGTGTGACGTATAACACAGAAGCTTTGCGCAATATCACTACGTGAAATCTCACGGCCCACAGAGAAGGAAATGAATAGTT